GTATAAAAACTAAAAAAACCCAGTGTCTCTTTAATGAAGATTTTTGAATGAAAAGGAAATTCTAAAAATTCTTTAATGTTTACACTATATCCAGAGTCTGACTTCCAAAGACAACATCCTCAGTATGCGTTGCTATAGCAGGAGGTATTTCAGAAAGTTTAAAACCCTCATTGTTATCATCATTTACTTTGTCATCATTTACAAAAAAAATAGTACTAAAAACAAGAAATGTGGGATATGCCCATATAAATATCAAGTTTGTTGCCCGAATCTGACAAGTAGTGTGAAGTAAGGGAAGAGAGTAGTTATAGGAATCTGGACAAGTAAATGGAATGTTCCCCATTTCATGAACTGTGTATGCTGTGTATGTACCTTTTATTATTATTGAAATATCAATAAGATTAAAAAAGATGAAATATATAGCATAGAACATTCTCTGATTGTAGTCTATAATGGTCCTTACTTGGAACTATTAGCCAGGCAATCACATATCCACAGCCAAATGTGGACCTATATAATTTGATAGTTAAAAGTTTAGTAATATAATAATGTTTAGATAATGTAAAGTTAAAAGATAGAGTATACATAATAGTATCAATAGCAATTATATCACAGCCGAATATTGTACACGTCATAAAGATTACAATAGCACCTATAGGAGTTAATGCTAATGTCAAGTATCTAATAAGATTTAGATAAAATCATAAATTTTAATGATATCAAAGATAAATAACCAGTTTTCAAAGATAAAAAACATTAATTTACTTACACGTTGTCAATAGAATGTAATTTGAGAATTCCATTAGACATACCAAATAAAATCACTTTTGCAAGTTCTAAAAAATTATAACCAATTATTATTATTATATCATTATTATTATAAAGCTTGTTAATAAATTACTTACGAAAGGCTGGACAAGCAAAAGCCAACAAGATAGTTATCATATACACCAAATACTTAAATAATGAAAAGAAACTCATTTTCAGGAGAAGTTAAACATTGATTAAATGTAAGTTTTATAGAAAAGGGCAGTAAATAAACGGAGAAGACATCTTTATTTACATAAAACCCATTCGTTTATATGCAGTTCATTAAATTTGTGTAACAAATAATGATAAATTGGTGATCAAACTTTCTATTATTATTGACCTCCGCCTGCCATATGCAGATAATATATCATCACTTTTTTCACGTCACGAATTTGATCAGTCATATCTTGGTGAGAATCTACGCTATCAAATCGACCAAGCTATCGTTACATAGCCTGAGCTTCGGGCTTACGTTCGATCTTAGGAAGGCTAAATAGAAATTGCTCGGCATTGCGTGTCTATCCCCGGTTTCTCATGTGGCCAGAAATATGGAATACACCACCTTGGTGTCTGTCATAAAAAGCAAAATGCACATCACTCGAGCGTGCCCTAAAATGCAAAACGCACGTCATACTGGCGCATATCTCAGTGGTTCTTAAGCAATAATCAAGCTTATTACTGTAGAGGTCAAAATGGATAGCTATAAAATAAGTAGGTAACAGTATATTCATAAGTAGGTAACTTGAGTTTTGCAATTTACACGTCATACTTAGGGATATTTCATTGGTCAAGTGACTTGAATTTTGCGATCTTGAGGAGGCAGACCGCAACATTAAGCCAGATCAAGCTATCAATAAACTCTTAATACAGGGGGTTTCAAAGCTTATATAGAAAAGCTAGATGAAGAATACGATTCTGAGTCGGATTTCGATCTCGAAAATGAATTAAAAGATATCTCTATTCGTAAACCTGCAATCAAGAATTACATCGGGCCCACAAATGACGATATATGATTGGATGCATCGTTAGATGTATATTTTTTTGCCCATGTGACCCAATGACGGAAATCGGCCATGATTACTAAACCCATACATTATGAGTGACGACAAAAATTAGCCACAGTCGTCATTTGAGTGACGTGAAAAATAGAAATTCACGTCAAGCCACGACACATACCTTGGTGGCTTTCGAATGACGATACAAACAAATTTACACGTCACCTGATGAGCAGACTATATCTTTGACGAGGCAAACGCAAAACGCACGTCACTCGAATGACGAGGCAAACACAAAACGCTCGTCATTTTCGGGGTAGTTATAGTCCAATCTAAGTGGGATAATTGGAGTCTGTACAGACTCCAATTATCCCACTAACCGTTTGAGGACAATAGTTTGGCCGCATACCATCTACCTCTAAATACCGCCTATACTTAGCTGTATAGACTGTTTCGTAACCGCCAGATCCAATCTCTTTGAGTTCGTAAAAGTCGCTATACCGCATGTACTTTATACGTTGATTCGTTCGTGTGAAACTATCCAATAGTGAGTGTACGTCGTAGTAGAAAACTAAATAATATTCCCGAGTATATGGATCCCGAGTGATTCCAATTATCCAAACATTATCCGATGTTAATATTTTGGGGTATTCCTTAGTTAGCTACAAATACAGTTTTTACAACAACGATCAATTTAAAACGCGTGATACACACAATACCATTTTTAATCGTTCCGTTCGTCAACTATCTTTTTGAGTGCCACTCGTATCAATTCATTTGTTGTTTGTTCTAACCAGTCCGCTACATGCGTGCATCCATGGCGTAATAATGACATATGTTGTACGTCTTTTAATAGCGAATACTCTATCCATCGTAGATAGGCATCATACTCATGCTCAGTATTACTCCACGACTGCATAATAAACGAATCCAGTGACTTGTTGCCCGTAGTCCAATCAACGGGCCGTGGTGTTTTACACGCATAACAGAATGCATTGATCTTGGAGTTTAACAATCGTATGCACGCCAGACATAATCCAATTTCATCACGTTGTTTTACCAGACAATACTTTTGTTTGCTTGCATCATATGTGAATCCGATGGTGACCCAAACACCCGTGGTGAGAATATCTGGATACTCATCACATAACTAGTAAAATGAATAAGTCAATAATAATTTAACAAATTCAATAAACATGACAAGTAAGTAAATAGTTTACCTCGGCATAATACGAATCACATGTCTCATCTGTTATTTCAAGTGGAATCAATTCAACAAGTGCATAATAGTTATCAGTAATAGGTAAATCGTACAAGTATCCTAATCTATCTCTCCCATCATTAATATGAATACAATCAAAGGGAATCCATTCCAAATAGGCATGATTTGGTGAGGTTGTTTGTAATTCGGATTTCTTAATAAACTCGTCGAGTTGCTTATTGTTGCTAGTCCACTTATTGGATGATTGTTTATGACCGCAAATGCACCACACGGGACTACATCGAAGTATTCCACATGCGGAGCAGAATCCGTATCGAGAATAACAGTGGTAAAACTGTCTCTCAGCAACCATGTAATAGTTATTATTGTACTTGGTAAACCCCTTTATGAGTTCATTGCGTTTATCAAGCCATTTTGCATATCTTCTGAACTGATTAACATCACTGCTATATTCGTGTGTCGGAAGTGAGTATATTCTAACAAACTCACTCACAAGTGTTGGTGTACATTCTTTGCTACTTCCAAGCAACACCAACGTTAATGTTGTTTCCGCTTCATGTGATGTAACTTTGTGAATAACATGATAGACATTGTTGATTCGAGTTGGCTTTACGTCGGTGATTTCCTCACAAGCAATCCATTCAAGTTTATGATTGCTTTCCAAGGAGGATTGAATTAAGCTGTCCATTGCTGGATTATTAACCGTCCCTGATGCTGACGACATGGTTTGATAAGAAGTTTCTCCAAGCATAATCACAGAGAGAGCATTCTCAACGGTTATTGTGCTACATCACACGGCCCTATGTTTGAATCTCTTGTTATAATTGGTGTCCGGAGATGAGTAGAATGGTTCGGTTTAAGTATTAAGAGGGTTGATTTGTATTTCAAACCCTGTTGTGCAATTTATGTGATGTTTACCACGTACTTACGCGATAGTGCCTATTATTAATTTACCTCAAATCATACGATTGTTCAACTGATTAGTGTTGTTTTTTCTATGTATATCACAAAAATACTGCGCTTGAGTATTGAAATTAAAAATTTCTGTTTTTATGATAAGATGTTTGATCAACGTATAATAATAAATAATATGCAGTATACTTAATTTTCTCGTATTTAGATACCCCAACTAACCGATAGAAAAGGCAAAAATGAAACGTTGAAACAGAAACGCAGAAACGCAACTCATTTCAACACGCAATGGTATGCTTGAAGAAACAAATTTATGCATTTCAAGTTATCACTAACAATATAAATAGTTAGGACTAACCTTTTCTTCGTTCGGGTAACGCAGATTATCAGTAAGGCTTGCGAATCTCAACTTCCAAACTTGTACATTGAACAAACGCATTTACTCAATGTTTGCTACGCAAGCTTGAAACCTATTGCGGATATTAAGCATCTGTCAACAAATGATAAAATAGTAAATTTTACAATGATTACGACTAAATTATTAATTGATAAACCAGCTATTGCCCGCAACATATTTGGAAGAATAGTCAACCTTGATATAACAAATTAGCGTCCAATGGCTACCTTTACGAGAGACGGAAAATAGACACAGCATACCGATTACGCTTACATTGAATGGTTTCTTGCACACTAATGTTTTATTATCATGAGAGAATCTGTTTCAATTTTTATTATTCAATTTATTTCATATGAAAATAGTCAGAATAGTTGACCCAATCGGTTCTTTGTTAATTTAATAAATATACATAATATCATGCTTAGAGTTTTTTCTTTGTTGACTAATTTACATAAACCTTACAAACCCGATAAACCCTTGCTCCATTTCCAACACTTTCTTTTTGTCAAGTATACTCACAATTATATACAGTTTTTGTCTAAATACAAATATTTAACAAAGCGTTTTCTGCAACACTCCAAAAAGTTATCTATCACATGTAATAGAAAATTCTTATGTTACACGATATGCATAAAACGATTCAAACAAAAAGGTAAACATTCTTTCAATGGTTGCCATCAATAGCCAAAAGACTTGGATATTCAAGAACATTCTCATGATACGAGACATTTTCATGTCCCTTTATCTCGTCAATTTTGTGTGTCCTGTCTTCATTAGAAGGACTACAGTCCACTCTTGCTATTGGTGATAACAATAAACTAGGGTTTGGAGTATACTGATCAAATATTGGGGGAGAAGGTAGATTGGATTGGGATGTGGATTGATGGGTGAATAAGGGGGGTAGGCAAGCAAATGGAGAGGTAGTGGCGGAAGATGGGTACGGAGACACAATTGTGTCCGTATTTTGAGTGGAAGTCATGCCACCTGAACAATCAGACAAGGTTATATAAATCAGACTCATAATATGCATGCAATGTGCAACATTTCTAGAAATGACGGTATTGATTAACCTACCACTTTGTGGTTGTCCCCACGTACAGTGCGCACATCGATAACAATTTATTATTTTGTTATCAAACGCCGTTCCTCCCATTCTGTTGTCCATCATGTCATATGGCGACGGATATATTGAATGTACTGGTTCGAAATAATTGATAAACGGTTGAGGTAATGGTAACACCGGCTCGGGAATTGGTAAAGCCGTGGGTTGCGCATGCGCATGGGGAGCAAACATTTGATTTTTCGAAACTGGCGAGTTGTCTGTCGTTGATTTCTGTATTCGCATTGACGGTGTAGCAATAAACGCCGGTCTCTTTTTTCTTTTTGCTTTGGTGGCGGTGGCAGTGGTGGCAGTGGTAGTGGTGGTGATTACAGTCGCCACATCATTAACTTGGAAACAGTTTTTTCTGCGCATATAACTTTTCGGCCGCTAACGAGATGTCCTTGTATGCTTTTTTAACATATTCTGGTTCCCTTTCCCACGAATAAGAAATCATTGACGACACGTCAGTCATTGCCAAGTGAAAGTTATTTTCCTTCAAATGTTTCACGTATTCGCTGCGATACATGATGAATGCGTTTGGGAAACGAACCAACTTTTTGCGTGACAATTTGGTTACAAAAGCAGTCGTGTCGATTTGCGGAGGAAATGGCAGTGTGACAGGGGGAAGCTTGGGTGTAGTCTTTTTTACCGAAAGTCGCATACACTGCTGCAATATTCCATTGCGGTTTATCGTTCGGTGGGTGGGTTTTGGGTCTTTCATTAGGGGCCTTGTTAAGACTTTTACGTCACGCACGCACGCGAATTAAATGGACGGTGTGGGGGAGGTGTTATCCTCCGCCTTTATATATCGTCGATGACTCATCCTTTTTCTTTGTATAGCTTAATCAGATAGAGGTCACACAAACAACAAACTGAATGTATTCAAACATCAACTCTTGCTTATCGATTGTTGTCTTGCATTTGTGTAATGTTTGCTGCGCCTTGATTACATATCGCCAGGATTATACGCAAAGAGAAGGCAATGTTGATGGTACAACATGTTTCATCACAGCTGATGAGATAGATTGAGATTTATTATACATGCCGAACAGTGAGTCGGAGATAAATGGATAAATTGACCAATCATAACGCCCAATATATCAACCGACAAATATATACAGATTACAGCATTCAAAAAAAGTTCCAGTTTGACAAATCTCTATCAAAACGACTTTGTTACTGAATATTTTACCAGATACAAAGAACAATTGGCTTAAAAAAGAAAGAGGATAGAATAAAGTTGGATCTTGCGTAAACGAACTTCTGTGTATAAAACAGTAGTCTTTTATAAAATGCGCGGTCTATGACCATGTCCAATAAAATTTTATGCTAATATTACGCAACACAATAATATTGCTGATTTCTATATAGATTATCACAGAGTATACAGCGGCACAACAATAAGCCTAATTGCTAAAATACGATAATGATTGTGTATGTTCTTTTGAAGGAAAAACCGGTTGAGCGTTCTTCGTGTTGCGTACGTAAACAGTTCGCCACAATAAACATGACGATTTTTGGTAAAAGTTATTATTTTTATGCAACTAATCCGAGGATCAAATGTAACAGGGACCCGTAAACTCTAGTCCTGATTAAGTATGTTGCACTGCATGCATTGTGTTTTCTTTTTTTTTTTTTTTTCTCACTTATTCACAAGAGAATGAATGTATGAACCCTTTCCAAGGTATGAAACATCCGATGTTATTTATAGCGTATTCATACAAGTCGCAAGCTCTATTGTAATGACCAAAATGTTATCGATGTTTCGAATATTGCGAAGTTGGTATGACGCAACTATAAAGCATGTAATAAAAAAGTACTGATCTGCAAATGGAAAAGAAAGGAATGTGTTTACAAATATTACGGCTAACACCAAAACAAGACGGGAACACGCCTCAATAACAAAGGGAAAAGGCAAAAAAAAACTCATATGATCTACGCGGCAGGTAATCACATGTTGTCCACTTAAACTAGGGACAGGTTTATCGAATGTTTGCATATTTATATTACAGTACTTATCGTGAACTGAACAATAAAAGATAAATTCATTGTGTGTTTGTGTTTACATAATATTGAGACATAAACTACAAACTTGAAGCATTTATTTGTTCGAATCGGGCAATTTAAATTAAAGTCGTCAGACCCCAACACAGAATCCCTACGCGTAAATATGCAGATGAAATGACAAGGTCAATAACGCCTAATCAGACTGAGTACTCGCGGATACTAACTGATATGGCTAGCGTTATCCATTCTCAGGTTTTGTTATTATTGTTAAAGGAACGTTCTATAGCCTCTCTTCGTTACTTGTGCGCTTTATCAATCCGCCAATCTATACACTTATCAATCAACAACTATCCTTTTACGTAAGCTAATTAAAAATTATTTGCTCACCTTTTTTTTTAAAGAAAGACAAAAGAAAACGTGTATTAAATGTCGTTATCATAGGAATACTAGTATATTTTTTATTGTAACTGACAATTTATATAGCTTATCTTCTTTGCCGAAAAAACAAAATTTTTCGTGTTCAATTTATGAACACACTTCTAATCCCTTTTCAGCAAGTAGATAAATAGTATACCGTAAAATGCTGTATATCCAGTATCCAATACGACTACTGCTTATTATTAAGCCATACTTCCCCCTTTTTTACACTCTAATTACAACGCACATATGAATGTATCAAAATAGTTGAATTAAAAAGTGAACAAGAAGCAAAGCTTACGAGCGTATAAACAATTTATTGCTTGAGAAAAGGTTGGGGGGGGAATGTTATTGAAGGACTAGACATGACAGTTTGCGATATAACATGTGTAATAAGACTGGGTTTAATTTGTAGACTTTATTGGGTCGACAGCAGACAAATATACATGTTCTTTTTCCGAACCAGACTTGTAAAAATTTACCATTTTGTAATGTGGGTCAATATTTGTCAAGTATTTTCCGTCATGGTTGTTCTCCGGGTCTTTTACATGTCTTTAACCTGTTTGCAACGCCCGGCATTTTCTTTTTTCGGTGACAAAAATTTGCTCTTCCGTTATTGATATGTATTCTGCAAATGGAGTTGTCGGGAGCATGTTGTAAGCAACTACGGTTGTCTTTAGTAGGTTTAATAACCAAATAATCAAGTATGTGTTAACATTTACTCGTTAGGCATTTTTTGATGCTCATAAGTTCTGCCAAAGACCGTATGATATCGATATAGTTACATGTAATATACCGTACTGCACTAGATCTCTATTCGGGGCAAGGGGAGTACTATAACCGAGAAATACGTTGGAGAGCTACTTTACTGACGATATAAATGTTTTACACATCCTAGCCTTTTCTTTTGCAATATACCCGTACGCTGCAAACGTAACTCGGAAGTTGCGTCGTTAAATGCTATGGAAAAAGTAGAGGTGTAAAGTGAAGATGATCTAATCTCGGGTGGATAAGAAAGAAAGAAGAAAACGAAAATGTAGTTGTTAAGTCAAATATGGTATACAACTGAAAGTAAGTTCAGTAAATGATAGGGTAAATATTGTACGCTGTGAATACAATAACAGATGAGATGGTTAACTAGATATCGGGAGAGTCTATTATATTACATGTAGTAGAGATATAAGCGACATTTACATTTATTGAATTTGTAGATTTTATCCGGGCATCTTATTTTCAGATAAGAACACAATAAGCACCCGGGCACTTACCAGAATGGATGTTGCCCAACCTGGAGGGGAGTACTAGAATCAGTGATGTGCGATAACTGTCACTTGTATACATCTTGGCTGCTGATTATGTTTTCTATTTGTTTCTTGGCAAATCAAACAACAGTAATAGAAAAAGCCTATTTACATTACATAATCAACTGTCGTTACGCTTTTATTCTGAAAGGCTGTCAATCAATTTCTGGACGAACATGTAAGTTGGATATTTTCTTTTTTGTTTAATATGGTAACATATATATATTCTTCGATCTTTTCACCTACCTCTCATACATTTATTTTACGTCTTCTCCTCCTGTAGTCGTGAGCTTTAATTGCTGCCAAGTTGATAGTAAGCAACGGAATACTATATATGGGGGAAAGACAGGGGAATGTTTGTTAGTAGTTATGTTGTACTCCCTACACAAGGTTTGTATGTCCTACAAAAGCCAATTATTTGTTTGGGACGGTTTGCTCGAGATACTGCTGGAAAGTAGTGATCGAAGGAAAAAAAAAAGGTCGATTATAAAAGTCAAACCATGTTCAATGACTAATGGTTAAAGTTCAAGTGTTGAACTGGGTAAGTAAGCGATTACAGTTATGATTTTTCTTAATGTTAATGTTTCGTTCGAAATTGATGATTTGCTGAAAGTATGCAGTTTAGGTTGTCAACGTCTTTATGACCAACGACATCTGAGATTGGTACCTAATTATAAGGTTGTAGCATTATTTTGGTAACATAAACGTACGAATAATTATAGCGCTTACCTAATTATAAGGTTGTAGCATTATTTTGGTAACATAAACGTACGAATAATTATAGCGCTCAATAGCCGATTTGAATATGAGTAACAATGGGAGCCGTTCATTTTTCCGGCCTCGTCCCGACAATTCTTTCGAAGTTATCTCGCTGATCTGGATGTGAACAAAAATCGACGTTTGCATCGAAATATTTTTCGGGAAATAATAGTCGGAGCAATGATTGTTTGGGAAATGATTGTCGGATAAATGAATTGTCGGGGAAATAATTGTCGGGGATATGGGCTGTCAAGGTAAGTAAACACGTTATTATTTATTATGAATTCAACGCATAACACATTCGATTTAAAAGTTGAACAAAGCAATGAAATACGTTCGAATAAAAATTTATCTAGCCTTAGATCCCAGAAAATGCCTAACAGGTAAATGTGTTAATTTTCTCCGATAATCATTTTAGTTGCTATTTTAACACTCAAATAGACGTTGATTATTACTTATTATAGTGCTTATAAATATGACTGTCGGGGAAAACGATTTTCGGGGAAATGATTGTCGGGGGAAATGAACCAGACCCATGTATATCATTTGCATGTTTGTGGTCAAAAAAGGTAGTTTTTAATTAGACGATCATTTTTTAGTGTCAGCATGTTAGCCTTTTAATTTGTAAAAAGGATGTCTTGAAAGCCAAGCGTTTTCGAGTCTTGTTTCATAACGGAACTAAAATCACGGCTTTTTTTTTTACTATGTTAGGATGTATCACGGAGCCAACACATGAACAGATTTCTGTTTTCAGGTTTG